TATAAATTTACCCTTCATCCATGAATTGAATATTGCTGCCATATCTGGTCTGAAGCTCCTGTAATATATCTGAAGATTCTCAACAAAATCCAAAGATAGGTCTGCAATGTTATCAGTCATGACCTGGCATCTCGACTTCAGTCACCAACATGATATGGCTTCCATTTAGCTTTTCTATAAAGATTTTCATGACAATTGTTCTGATAAGCTCTCCACCTTAGTACCTAAATGACATGAATTTAAGCATACTACTTGATTGGCAATTAGGTCTCATCATTTTACTGTTGAAATAGTGAGGTATTACCAATCGTTCTATTCTAATAGTTTCTTCTCTTGTATTTCTAACCGCTTGAACTCTTTTCTGGTTTCTTGCTTCCCTGCTACCTATGGTCTTCAAAAATTTAAATGCAACATCAATCGCCAACTCTTCTCTTCCTGAAACCTGTTCTTTTATTCTCCTTTCTCCTTACTAATGTGTTCTCATTCTCACTCTCAGTAACCCCTTGCATCTGACTGGCATTATTGCCTTGCTTGGGGTGAAATGATTAAAATAAAAATTCTAACCATTTCTTCTTATATGTGCCATGTCTCTTCCGGACATGGATGATTATAGTTCTCTCCAACATCCTATCCTGTCTGAATTTATAGAATGAGTAGTTATTATTTGTATTTAGTCTGGTGTTGGAATGAGATCAATAATGGTTCAGTTCAAAATTCCTTGAAGGTAATCCAGATCAACAGAGACCTGAAAAAGGCCAGCAGGCACAATAACCAAAACATTGCACTAATAACAACAAAGATGAGGACATTAGTATGAATATAAAAAACATAAATAACATGAAGTTAAATTATTCCTTTATTATACGTCACAGTCTCTGCTTTGCCATCAACTTCCACAAGATCGTTGCATAACTCAATTTATGATACCATCTGTTCCTTTTGCATTCAAGATTGCTTGGAAAATTTGATACTCACATGGCAAGGTTACTTCATGGCTGAGAGGGTTAAGGCATGTCAAATCTAACAACGGTTTTCCTCTGCCCTGAGGGACGCAGGTTCAAATCCTGCCAGAGAACGCATATTTTTCCTTTAATAAGATTTTTCAAATATCCAAGATTTAAAATGAAAAATAAATATACTGTTTAATAAATAAATGATGAATCTACTCAAATAAGAGTATTGACTAAAAATAACATTTAAAGAGAAAAATATCTGTTGGACAGATTAATCAAATCAATGACCTTAGATAATTGCTTTGTTTACATTTGGATATGAGACTTAGCAGATATAAAAATTTCCATGAATTTGAGATGAAAAGGAGTTTGCCTAAAGGCACATTTTGAACTTTGCTTAGTCAGCAAGGCTGATCCATGGCTGAGTCAGTTAAAGCACATTGGATCTAACGACAGTTTTCCTCTCAGCAAATCCTGCTGTAGATTACATATTTTTCTTTAATAAAATTTCTTGAATATTCAAGACAGTTGATGAAAATAAATATACTGTTTAATAAATAAATGAAGCATCAACTCAAATATGAGTATCTACTAAAAATAACTTTTAAAGTGAAATATACCCTGTGAGTGTCAGATTTTCAAAGCTCTCTTTCCTTATTGCATGAGCCAGAAACTTCAACTTTCTCTTTCCAATCTTCAATGTAAGTTTCCTTTTTTTTGTTTCCACATTCCATGGGATTCTTAACATTCTTCTTCAGAACCACATCTCTGCTGCCTCAAGTCTCTTCTTCATCTGTGAGAAAATTGTTCAACATTCACAGCCATATAGGAGGACTGATATTGCATAATGGTCTGGCACCCTTTTTTTGTTTCTAAGAAAACTTTCTTGTTTCTTAATACTTTGTATTCAATTTCTCGTCATGTTGGTGTTTAGTAGACTACCATCTTCAGGGACAGGTATGCGGCTGTAGGAATTTGGAACCAAAAGAAGCAATACAAATTTTAACCAAGTTGAAAATTTCTCTCACTTAAAATTTTATGAAACCCAATTATTTGCTTGACTGTTAAACACACATTTGTACCTATATATTGGTTCCATTACCTGTATTATTTCCTTTATAAATGTTATACCATACCTATGGACTCTAATGGGTATGTCCCAATCTTTATAAATACAGTGGAATATACTGTATGTTGGATTCACCTGCATTTCACTTTCAGCTCACCACTAGCAGTTGATAACTTACTATATTCCACTGGTGAGTCTTGTATATTGTTTCTGTTAGAAATATTATCATTCCATTTCCAACCTTCATTTTGGTTATTCTTATTCAGTAACCTTTTCCTAGGTTACAACAATTAATAAGTAGCAAGGATACCCAACATTGCCCTTATATTAAAATAACACCATTAAGGTATAAACTCATGATAGGTTTACAGTTACATCACATTGAAACACCAGTTCCTGTATGATCACCAAAGTTAAGCAACATCGAGCCTGGTCAATACCTAGATGGGTGACTGTTTAAGAATACCAGATGCTGTAAGTTTGAATGTGCAGGTGGTGCAATGGATAATGCCTTGGAATTGTTATTTGGCAAGCTAAGTTCTAATTCCAGTTGGGTTTGTTATATTGACTAACATACAAATACCCATGAGAAAAGTATGAATTCACTTCTTCTCCCCCAGCTATGGGTTAATTAGCAAGACTTGTATCTTCTTTTGTATACTGTGTCCTGAAGGGACACAAGCGATCATGGTCCTCCACATCTTTCTGTCCCTTGTAGCTCTCAATAAGTTTTGTCTTTTGGTTATTTCTCCACAACCTTGTTCTACCATCCATATACACAAGCCCATCAAGTATGTTACACACTTTCCTCTGCCCCTCTTTCCCTCAATCTATCCTGTGAGTACCAAGTTTTCTAAGCCCTCCTTCCTCATTACATTCCCCAAAAATTTCAACTGCCTCTTCCTGATGTTAAGTATAAGTTTCCTTTTTGTTCCATTTTCTCTAAAATATAGTTGTTGCTCACATTTGGTTAATGGTATCCTAAGCATCTTTCTGGAGAACTACATTTCTGTTGCTTCAAGTCTCTTCTTAATCTTTGAGGAGATTGTCCAGCATTCACTGCCATACAGGAGGACAGATATCACAAAACAGTTCAGTACTCTTTTCCTGGTTTTTAAGAAAATTTTTCTCTCTCTTAATATTCTGCTTAGCTTTTGGAATGCATCTTTGTCCATCCCATTGTGTCTTCGGATCTCAGTGTCACACTTTCCATCCTCTGTTAGAACATTACTCAACCATTATTATCTCAAAACAAAAAAGAAATAGCTAAAATATTTTCTGGCTTTAAATAACCTGTAAAGGGTTGATAAACTGTAAAAAGCAAATCAATCAAATTCATGATGAACAATATTAAAAATAATATTTAAAGCCAACATTATTTAATCATGACAATATTCATTATAATTTAATTCTTTTTTATATATGTGTGTATGGCTCATATTTAACCTCTTAAAACCATATATATGTTAATAAGTAGCAGGGCTACCTAACATTGCCCTTGTATTTTATGAGAAAAGAATCATTAATTCTATTCTAAATCTTTAGTGTATGTGTATATGGCTTAAACACGAAGATCTTTCAAATTAGAACCATATATATTCTGACTCAGCACGTTCCAAGGAAGATTCTGGTAAACAATTTATTTTTGTATTTTTGAATAAAAATGGAGATATTTGTAAATTAAGACATCTCTTTCAATTTAGTTCAATAATTATTCATTTTTTTTTAAATAATTTTATGCTTAATATTGTTCTGATGGATAAAAAATAGAAATTTATTTTTGTAAGAAAGAAAAGCTTATCGATCTTTCACAGAAAATGTTTATATTTTAAAATAAAAAAAACCTTTTTATTTTAAAATGACTACCCATGTTTTCTTTTAATCTTTTCATTTTCAATTTAGTTTTTTGCTACTGTTTATTGAAAAAATAATCTAATGACATAGGGTTTGTGTATAAAAATAAATAGAAAATTGGTTAATTCTTTTTGTTAAAAATTTAAGTTGTTTTTATATAAAATAAGTAATTTATTAATGATAATTTTTAAAAACTCACCCTTTATTCAACAAAACATATAAAATATTGTATGATTTATTCATTAATTTTGGATTTTTCCTTTTGTTTTTTTGCTATGCTTTCTAATGCAAAACCTTTTCTATCAATGTTTTCATGGTAACTGTACTGATAAACTTTTCTCTATAGTACCTAGACTCTTAAGTGCAGTACTCAGTTGGCAGCAAGATTTCACCATTTTATAGTTGAAGCAATGAGATGTAACTGTAAATTCTATGCTAATTATTTCTTTTCTCACACTTCTCACTTGTGGAAGTCTCTTTAATTTTCTTACTTTCCAGTGAACTTTGACCTTCAAAAATTTAAATTAAATGTCAGTCATTATCTTCTGTCTTAATTTCTGCTTTATTGTTCTTGTTCTTTAATAATCTTTTTCTTTTTCTTATATTCATTCACACTCAGTAATCCACTGCGTCTTAGTAGATCTGTTGATTTGCTTGGGGTGAAATAATTAAAAAAAATTCTGTTATGTATGTTTTCATTTATAAATATATTTACTTATATAAAAATGGCAGATATAAATTACCAAAACCTTTCCTAGAAAGGATTATCATAAAAATAAACAGAAATAATATGTCTATATTATTTAATGAAATATGCTTGAATTAAGATACGTTGCACACAGACACAATATATATATATATATATATATATATATATATATATATATATATTTTAAGACATTTTTATGTTCATACATTCTTTTTTATAGATACAAATATTTAAGTAAATGCTCTGTTTATAATAAACAGTATTAACAACATTTACCGGCCTGAATGTCCAAGAAATTTTCATAGAAAATAAGCATCCTCTGACAGTAATTGAACCTGTATCCTAAACAAAACCATCATATAGCCTGATGTGTTACAAATGAAGCCTCCACTTTAAACATGGTGAAATATTAAAAAGCCTGTCAGGCTATAAACACAGTTCCATATAGGATACAGGTTCGATTCTTGTTGGAATACATGCATATTTTCTATGACAATTCTACATACATTCAGGTTGGTAAATTTTATATTTACTGTTTATATTAAAACAGAAGATTTATTAAATATTTATATGCTATAAAAAAATATAAAATATAAAAATGTCTTAAAATAATTGCCAGATATTTTTCCATTTCCATTTCATAATATATATATATATATATATATATATATATATATATAAATGCAAATGTCAGTGTGTCACACTTTTTCAACTTTATACCATTTTGGAATCATGCTGATCCCATGAGCAAAGTAAAAACATTCTGGGCCAGATCCATATCTGAGTCCTCCTGAAATTTTTCATTCAATTGGGTTTTCTTACTGCAATTGTTTTTGACAATTTTTGTACATGATTTTTTGCTACAATTTTTTTTGTATGATATCAATTTTTATAACTTGCTAATAAATTTAGGAATAATCAAAATTAATTGCAAAATCCAGTGAAAGTCACCCCTGAAATAAAAATAATTGTTTGTACAGAAGTAAATATTAATGCAATACTTAAATGCAGTGATCAATTTCAAGTTCTTCTGTCATTTATTGTTGCCTGTTGCATCTACTCTTCCCTACCTATTGTGATGAAGGCCCTGTCAAGAGCTCTCCACAAAAGCTAGCTTAAATGCCACTTGACAAGGTGGCTTTTAAGATAGTATATAATAAATAGTTGGTTTTGATTTTAAGCTGGACATACACACACACACACACACAATCAAATTATAGAATATTTGCTAGCTGGAGAAAGAAATGGCTTGTTAGCTTTAAAGCCCCCAAAATGAAATTGCTCTCCTTAATCATGTTAAAGATCATTTTTTGCCTTCAATCAGTATGGCTGATGCTGACCTCCAGAATAGCAGCTCATTGTGCCTTCTTGGTCTAACATTTTTCATTGACATGAAATGAAATGATTATATTGAATCAACTGCTTGATCTGCTGCTAGAAAAGTTGGTTCACAATGTCATGCTAGACAAATTTTATAACCAGAATCTACCTCACACCTTTTTAAGTCTACCATTTGTTGATGCAATGACTATTACTATCACATCTGGTCTGGTGTATCTGCTATATGTATTTAGAAATTCTTGACAAAATCCCAAAAGAGTTTACAACATTATCAGTCCTGTCATCTCAGTTTCAGTCACTTTCCTACCACCATAACATAACTTCCCTGTACTTTTTCTATAAATATTTTCATGGTAATTGTTCTCATGAGCTTTCCTCTTTTGTACCTCATCTTTTCAAATTTAATTGCAGTACTATATTGGCAGCTAGGTCTCATCATTTTAATGTTGAAATTTCTAAATGTAATACAGTTAGGTGAAGTCAATCTTAGAAGTGAAGAAAGCCTGTTTTAGACCTTCAAATTCTTCCAAGAGCACAGTGGAGTAATGGATAGTGGCTCAAATTGAGGAATCAGAGAGCTGAGTTCAAATTTCAGTAGAATCCATTACATTTACTTATATGCTAATACCCTTGGGAAAGGTATGAATCCTCTTCTCTCCCTAACTACAGGTAAATAGCAGGACAGACCAGGTTCCTTGTTTTTCTAAGTCTGCAGGTTTTAAGACCTTTAAGTTGACATATCTACAGTTTGTCTCACAAAACAAGAATTATAAATCTTATAATTTACCTGACCTCAAATATGTACAGTAGTTGAAAATATTCATTCACCTCAGTCATAAGGCAGACCCTATTGACAGACTGTGTGCTTGGAGTGTGATCTTATTTTTTCTTGAAGAAAAGAAAGTCAGGCAGGGGGGACAGGCCAGTGCCACCACCCCCCACCCCAGATTAAGTTGCACATATACAAAAGAGTGCTGAAAAGTTCTCTAGCCTGAACAAGAAAGGAAAAAAAAATAATGTTTCGTAAGATTTTAGGAAATTGGTTACTGCTCCCTCTCCTAAAACTTTTTTCTCACCTGTAGTAGAGAGAAAAGGATTCACTAAGAGATATTCTCTTTATTCCTGCACAGACAAAAGCATTGTTGACCACCATTTTGTACATACATTTACCCTGATCTGTGTTCCTGGACCCCACCTTCCTACAACAATTACAATTTTTTTTTATGTCCTTGCAATCAAATCTGATTAACAAATGAAGTTGTCAAAATTGGTTAACTTTTTGAAGCAAGAAAAATAACAACGACAAAAATGCACATAACATAACAAACAGAAAAAAAAAAAAGATTAAAGAAATAAATGTGATAAAAAACAAAAGCCCTCTTTTACTAAAATGGCTAAAAAAAAAAAAAAAAAAAAAAAAAAAAGTAAAATGAAAAAGATAAACAAAAACACAAAAAAGGAAGCCTGAAAAAATAATTAAAATAAAAAAAAAATCTTCTCGAAGTAATATACAACAAAGCACTCCACACCCATCCCGGGACCATGTGGATCAAGAAGTCTCAAACCTTTGAAAA